GTGGATATAACTGTTTTATTAAAAATATGGTTTTTTTCTTTAAAAAATAAAAAATATTCAATCATATATGTTTTATATTTTTTGTTTTTAAAAATATAAATCATAACAATATAAAATGTATTTTTTAAAAACAGAAAATAGAAAATAAAATAAAAATAATACACAATAAAAACAAAAATAAAAATAAAAAACAAAAAAAAAAATATCCCAAACAACACTTAGTCTACTCACACTTTTTTACTTATTTGATGTGAAGTAAATAATTTTCCATGGCATTTTGAGTCGCTTGAAGGGCCATTTAACGAAGTAATTGAAATACCTTTAAAATGGTTGAAATTAGAAGTCACATTGGCCATCTCAAAATCTCTACATGTGAAAACCATTTCGCTCGCAAAAATTTCCCCTGCGAGTTGGTCCAAAGAGCAAGCTCTCCCACCATTTCGTCGAGTTGAATATCTCTCAATTGCTTTTAATTGTTGCTCGATCTCTTCTCAATCTCGCTAAAAACAAGGATCGCTTACCTCAATTTTTCTTCACCTAAATCCTTGGAGCAATGATCCCTACATTAGATGTAGGAATACGAAAAGACAAGTGAGTAATACCTCTAAATAATTTTTGGTTGAAATTCTCGTTGAAATAAAGATTTCTGCAATCCAAACTGTCATTTTCCTACAAATATTTAATTTCTTTAATTTGTTACTGATCTTTAAATCCTTCAAGGGCCTGTTTGGCAACGAATCTGGTCATTTTGGACAAAACATTGGCAGATTTTGTCTGCAAATTCGAGATTTATTAAATTCTACGAATTGATGGATTTAACATCGCGCGTTGCGAATTTATACGGGATACCTAACAGTTGTTGCAATAACCCTATCTCTTTCCCAATTGTGTCGTTGACGACAATGTTGTCTACTGTGCTTCAGCCTTAATATTTAGAGCATCTCCTTGCCGGTTGTACTCCATCCCAATCTCGCCTCAAGATAAGGTATTCTTCATGGTGTTCTTCACGCGACAACTACACGAGAGGCTTTCTCAATCAGCCTGTGGATCAGGTGCACTTCTTTTGGCTTAATTTTTTTTGTCTTGTTTCAGCCGAACAACTTTATGCTTGTAAATTTTGTTTTGGTATTCACATCTCAATCACCCGAATGCTGCTCATATTTGCTGTTAAATGCTAATTGATTTTTTTATTATTATTAGGAAACGTGGTTTTGGTTAGTGGCCATATTTTCTTATCCATTAGAGATCATTTCGTAACTTTTATTACCTCAATCATGCTCAATTAATGTTGTAGCTAATGTTGTAAGAAAACATGGAATGTTCAGTCTTATGGACTTCTTTATTTAAGACGCTTAATATTCATTGAATGAAGATGAATATTGTTACTGTAAGAAGAACTGTGTAATAGCTTTGATGGAGTGGATATCTATTTGTAGGGTCATCCGAGCCTAAGGATTTAGTTTTCTTAAATTATCTTGGACATGTGGACATATTTTATCAATGATCTTAATGGTTGATGTGCATTTTTCATGAATGCTATGAGTATCCTTTACAACTATGCCTAATAAGAAAAATAGGCATTTGAGACTAAGAAAATTTTTATAGGTGACAGGGAAAACAAAATAGCATTCTAGACCCATCTAACTTGAACATCAAACTTGAAGCAAGATATACTTGCAATCCACTTGTCATACATGTTGATAAATTTCATAATGTCTTGAGTTCATGGCCTAAAACATACTAATGTATTATTTTTGCATTGTTTTCTACATGTGAAAGATGCCCTTGTAATGCTTATGCTATATACCATGAAATGCTTATGCATATGCCATGTACCATGAAAGATACCCATGAAATGCATATGCACTATTTTTCACATGAGCCATCTTTTTTGTCAAAACATTTTCTACTGTAATTTGAGGAACTTCTGAAAATTTTTATACTTTCGATTATTGCACTAATGTATACCAAATTTTGGATTTAAAACAATAATTCCCCGTAGGATTTTGGCTAAATATAGCTTAAATCCGGCTCGAACCTCCTACCAAACAAACCCGAAATTAGTGCGGATAGAAGAACATTGCTATTGCAATTTATTTTTCTTTTGATTCCTCATTTTGAAGCTGCTCAAGATTTTTAATGGTAAGACTATATTCTAGGATCATGAAACAAGTGTTAAATACACTAAGAGACTTTATTTCAGAGTGTGATATTTGTTTGATTCTAGTTATAAACTCCTTCAATTGATTAAAGTGTCATATTCTTCTAATTCTTTGTTAAAATTTAATTTTTGGTAAGTTTATTTTTGTTGGAAGAGAGCATGAAAAATGAATAATATTTTTTAGGGGATTTACTTGCATAACACAAAATTCTCATATGTTTAATACTTAAATTTAACATTATTTTAGTCTTCCATAGGGTTGAATAACCTTATGATTTGTTTCATCATCGTTGAGAATAAATCACAATGAATATCACAAGCAACAATAGTGCATGTCATTATCGAGGATAACACATCTCTATATGGAAACTAAATACTAATCAACATGTGAATTATCTTGTAAGGAAATAATAAGCTAATGAACAAAGTAATAAATTAGAAATTTTCATTACCTAATGACTGGAAACTCTAAGCTGCATGAATACAATTTTCAATTAATCAGATTAAGAGGCTTGGGCTTATTACTTATTGGAAATATGGAGATTCTTATTTATATGGAAGTTATAGAATCCTTAATCTTACATAAGGTGGCACGTTCTTATGATTTATGCCAACATGGCTATGGATGAATCATAATGGATATCGTCGACAACAACAATGCATGCCATTATCAAGGACAATTCATGATAATTAAATCAAGTTAATTTTTGTAACTTATTTCTAACAACCATCACAAACATGCTCTAAGAAACTCTATCAGAAGGAAGCATTGCCATAAAACAACTAAATGAGCCTAATGATAACTATAATATAATGGACCATCAAATAAAACATTGTAGCTTGGAATTAACAACATATTTACAAAAGAAAACAGAAAATATTAACCATCTAGAAGGAAGTTTGGAAAGTACCAAACATTATAAAAATATTGAAATAAAAAACTTAATTAAAGCATTTAAATTTTTTAAATTCCAAAATTTGAGTTTATTAGCTAATTTAAAATTTTTATCAAATTAATCAAAGTTATATAAAATTAATTAAAATTTTTATATTTGCTTTTCATTATTTTAGTTTTTTTTAGAATTATTCATCTGAATTTATAAATGTTATGTCATCACCAAATTTTTGCCATTCGACATGAATCTTGAGGCATTTTTCTGAACAAAAAAGTTTCATATTCAAATTAAAGATTATCAAGAGCTCTCATTTTAGGAAATTTAAAGTCAAACTAACCGTTTTGACAAACTGATCCCAATGATAGTAAAATTGGTCTAATCTGAGTCTAATCATGTCCAGATCAAGCCATTAAAGTATATTTGCAGGCTTTAGATCATTGATTGAATGAGCAAACAAACTCCAAATTTTTTATATCATTGAGCATCTTGATGAGAGGAATTCAACGAGATTATGATCCCTTAATTCTAAGGTTAATAAAGACCTCAAATTAAAAATAAACCCAATGAGCAAGATGGAACAATATGAGCGATTTTATTGTGTAGTAATGGGAGGTAATTGCCAAATGACTATAGTGCCCCTTCCCTAAGGGCTATAGAAAGAAACCCCTCTCTTCACTTGAGAGGGTGAAAATGATTCAAATTTTATTGTTGTTCTCGATTGAAGACGTCACACTAACTTCTAGCTTATATAGCCACCGGGCACCACATACCCGCCCCTTGTTTGTCACCATTGGCGAACTCTATTTGCTTATGAAGAATCTTGAAAATGATGTAATAAAGTATCCTAAATATGGCATAACGAATAATATCATAGTGAAGATTCGTCGATAACTTCTGGTAACAACTCTTTAAAACCACCATTTTTAGAATGTAGAAAATTTCTCTGGGCTTCTGAAGTTTTTTATACATCGTAAACCAGTAACTGTTGTCTCTGACATAA